AGCATCTGTGTCCTTTCCCATGCCCCCCTCCCTCACCCTGCCCAAGTCTTTCCCCCCCTGGAATTCAGCCCCACCTACCCCAGCCTCCACCAGGCCTCCCCAACTCCCTGCATCTGGGGCTGTCAGCGCTGCCCTCCCCCCCACCCCCCAGCTAGGCCCAGGGTCTCGGTGTGGCCTACTGACCAGGGGTCCCCAGGTACCTGGAGACCTGCCCGCAGGCCTCACAACCAGTCACCCAGAGTCCAGTCCCCAAACAGCTCACACTAATGTCCGGGCCTCCATCGGGGCTGGGTGGCTAGGCGGGAGGAAATGGGGTGGGTTGTAAAGATCACCCCTTGAGGCAGCCTGTGGGGGGCAGGCTGCGAGGGCTGCGGGCCTGGCCAGGATTAACAACAGATGTTAGGCGCTAACGTGGATGTGTGTGCTAATCTAAAGCAACTGCGTGCCCACCCCCAGGAATTCCATACATACGCCCCAGCCTGTCCCACAGCTGCCGCCATGGCCCCCACCCCTCTCCGCAGAGCCACCTGGGGCCCCCACCCCCTCTGAAGCCTCCGGGGGGTACAAGATGGGGGAGTGGGTACCATGTCAGCTGGGTTCTTCTAGTGGAGTGAATGGGGGGTGTCAGATCTGCGGAGGAGTGGGAGAGCTGGGGGACCATGGGACCAGCCTCAAGGCACAGGTCTGAGCCCACCCTAGCCCTCCTCCTTCCCATCCTCACAGCCGGGCCCTGGGCATCTGCTCACAGCACCATCCATTCTAGAACAATCCATTCTGTTTCCAACGAAGAGCCGCTGCCCTGTGCCTCTTCCTGGCCAGGCTCCTGGTGAAGCAGGCATGGGTGTGCCCCCAATATGAGAGAGACAGACAGACACAGAGACAGACAGACAGACACAGAGACAGGGAGACAGAAACAGAGATGAGAGAAACTGGACACCAGGAGCTCACGCCTGTAATCCCAGCAACTCAGGAGGCTGAGATCTGAGGATCGCAGTTCAAAGCCAGCCCGGGCAGGAAAGCTCATGAGAATTTTATCTCCAATTAACCACCAGAAACCGGAAGTGGCACTGTAGCTCAAGCAGTAGCGTGCTCGCCTTGAGCTCAGGAACAGCGCCCCAGCCCAGAGTTCAAGCCCCATGACCAACAAAAGAGAGAGCGAGGTGAGTGGGAGAGGGCACTGCTCAGGATGGGCTCTGTGTCTCGTTTTTGCTCCTTCAGTCCCGTTGTGGCGGGTCACCTGACATTGGCCAGAGGCCTGGAGCTCTGGCAAACACAGCACGATGCCAGAGTCTCACCGCTGTGGCCCGTACACCAGGCTTTTACGGGGTGTTTAATTGCTTCTTAGTCAAATTAAAATACTTTCTTCCATTAGCTCTACAAATCAAGAGTTTCATTTTGCCCCTGGGATGGCAGAAGCCCCCACCCAGCCCACAGCTCCGCGCTGTGCGCCTGGCCCAGGGCGCTGGCCCTATCCAAGTGCTGTTGGCCTGCGTGGCAGGTGCACACATACCTGCCCACTCTCCTGAAACCCGGCTGAAGGCTTGTGTTTGCTCGAGAGACCAAGATGGATGCTGACAAAGGGCGCCACTGTGGCAGGATTGTGAGCCAGGTGCTGCGCCTCACGTCTGTCATCCCAGCTACTCAGAAGGAGGCTGCGATCTGAGGATCTGGGTTTGAACCCGCCCAGGGAAAATGTTGCAAGACCCCCATCCCAACCCAAAGGTGCGTGCGGTGACAATGTTCCTGCCAATCCAGCTAGGATGGGAAGCGTACAAGGAAAACAGCAGTCCTAGGCAGGCCTAGGTAAAACCAAGATGCTGACTAAAAACAGCCTGAGGAAGAGAGCACGGGGGTGTCATCAGCAGATGGCCCTGAGTTCAAATCCCAGTACCACCAAAAACAGACTGGGGGAGTATGGCTCAGCAGAAGGAAGATAAACCTCGACCCCTCCCGGTCCCCCATCCTTGAGCGCCACCTTGGAAAGCAGGCAGTGAAATACTGATTTCCATACTGCTGTTCCCCGATGCCTCTTCTTCTCTTCCCCACTCAGATCCAATGGCTGGTGAGGACCTGCTCTGATCCCAGCACTAGGAGGCTCAATGGATGGGGAGTTCAAGGGCAGCCTGGACTCTATAGTCTCTTGTTTGCTTGAAAACTCCTCTCTAGGCTGGGAGGTGGCTCAGTGGTAGAGTGCTTGCCTCGCATGCATGAGGCCCTGGGTTCGATTCCTCAGTACCACATACACAGAATAAAAACAGAAGTGGTGCTGTGGCTCAAGTGGTAGAGTGCTAGGCTTGAGCAAAAGAAGCTCAGGAACAGTGCCCAGGCCCTGAGTTCAAGTCCCAGGACTGACCAAAAACAAAAAAATAAAAATAAGCAAACAAAAAAAAAAAGAATGTTTCATTAGCCGAATGCATGGCTGTAATTCTAGCTACTCAGGAGGCTGAGATCTGAGGATTGCAGTTCAAAGCCAGTGTGGACAGGAAAGTCCATGAGACTCTTATCTCTAATGAACCAGCAGAAAAGCGGAAGTGGCACCATGGCTCAAATGGAAGAGTGCTAGCCTTGAGCTGAAGAGCTGAGAGACAGAGCCCAGTCCCAGAGTTCATGCCCCAGGACCGACAAAAAACAAACAAAAAACCCCACAAAACTCCTCTATGAAAATACCATATCAAACAAGAACCAGGAGCAGCCGGGCAGAAGCGGGTGCCCCGTTGGTGGCTGGCATCTCAGCTAGGAAAAAGCGAGTTGATTGTCCTAACTCTGGGTCCGGATGTCAGAATCGCGTTGACTTGCCAGACATCAGAGAACTGATGCCAGAAGGAGGTAGTGACATCCGAAGAAATCTCAACTGCACTGATTGTCTCGCCCAAAAGAATGTCCCTTAAACTGGACAGGGTAGTTCAGCTTGTAATCCTAGCTACTCAGGAGGCTGAGCTCCCGAGCAGATCACAGTTCAAAGCCAGCTCAAACAGCAAAGTCCATGGGAGTCTATTTTTCCCCCCAGTCCTGAGGCTTGGACTCAGGGCCTGGGCACTGTCCCTGAGCTTCTTTTGCTCAAGGCTAGCACTTGACCACTTGAGCCACAGCACTTACTTCTGTCTTTTTCTGTGTATGTGGTGATGAGGAATTGAACCCAGGGCTTCATGCATGCTGGGCAAACACTTTACCACTGAGCCACATTCCCAGCCTTCAAGGGAGTCTTTATCTCCAGTTAACCAATAAAAGGCCAGACATGGTGCTGTGGTTCAAGTGTGTAGAGTGCCAGCCTTGCGCACAAGGCTCAGGGACAGTGCCTAGGCCCTGAGTTCAAGCCCCAAGACTGGTGCAAAAAAAAGAAAGAAAGAGGGAAAGAGAGAGAAAAAAAGAGAGAGAAAAGGAAGGGGGAGGGAGGAAGGAAGAAAGGAAGGAAGGAAGGTAGTTGGCAGGCAGGCCTTCATAGCACGAGGTGACTTTCCCTTCCCATGTGCCCCAGGGTCCCCTGAGCATCCTTTGCCATCTCTGGGATGCAGCATCCAGCGTGGTGTCCAGAAACCAGGTCGTTGGCTCATGTGAACATGTGCCGTCCCCAGCTTTAATGACTACCATGGCTGGCCACAGTCACAAATATGGCCATCGTGTTCCTAAATGCTCTGCAGAGCAGCAGGCGGCGCGGCCTCCTCCTAGGTGGAGTCTCTGGGGCCTATGTCTTCCGCCAGACACAGACTGGGAGGAGGAAAGGTCAGCCTGGTGCTGGCCGCACATCAGTCAGGCCTGTGCCTGGATGCCCTGGCCACGCCCCCTCACCCTGGGCCTGGCCTGGCCCACATGGGGGCCCAGGGGGTCCATTTCCAGCTGGAAACAAACAAAACAATAATAATAATAATCTCAGTCAAAGGTCTCTCCTAGTAATTGAGTCTGCCAGTCTCCCTCCCTCCCTCCCTTCCTTCCTTCCTTTGAGGAGACAGGTTAAGGTTCAATTCTTTCCAAATTAACACCTAGAGCTCACCTGCGAAACCACAAGTCCAACTACGCTTTAGGAGCAAACCCAGCAACCCAGGCCGAGGGATTTACAGGCCCATCCCAAGCAGGTGCACAAGCTTAGTGTCGCAAACACCAGAAATCTCACGGCTTCCTAGAACACGGGAAAACAGAATCGCTTTTACATGTCCCTCAGAGTTGAGAGAGAGTGAGGGAGAGACAGGAAGAAGGAAGAGGAGAAAAAAGAAGAAGAAAGAGAGGAGGGAAGGAGGGAAAACAGAACTGTGACCCAACGTAAATAATCTCCAAAGTGATCTAGACATTGAATGAAAGAGAAAGACTTAGAGGCATATATATATATATATATATATATATATACACATATATATGTAAGTAAAACATACGTGTCTCCTCCAATATAAAATAAGCTAAAAGCTGGGCACTGGTGACTCAGGCCCATAGTCCTAGCTACTCAGGAGGCTGAGATCTGGGGATCACAGTTCAAAGCCAGCCTGGGCAAGAAAGTCCTAAGACTCTCTCTCTCCAATGAAGTACTAAAAAAATAAAAATAAAAAAGGGTAGAGCACCAGCCTTGAGCGAAAAAGTAAGGGGCAGTGGCCAGGCCATGAGTTCAAGCCTCAGTAGTGCCCAAAACAACAACAACAAAGCTGGAGCCCCGATGGCTGCACCCCTGCTCCTCAGCCCTGATCGTGGGTCGGACAGGGCCCAGCCCCGGTGGCCTCTGCTGACATCCACCTTCATGGTGCCGGGTGGTTCCGTGGGCTCCAGATGAATGGCCACATCTGCATTTGCTCAGAGCTCAGATAACCGATGACTGCAGCCCCAGCTCAGGGCTTCTCCTCCATCCCTCCGCTCACCCACCCCAGGCAAGCTGGAAGCCACACCCAGGCCCTGGGCAGGGCTGCCCACAGCCTCCAGCATTCCAGTCAGAGGTGGGTGGGCAAAGGAATTTCCAGTCACAAAGCAATACAGCAGGAGCTGGGCAGGACAGAGACAAACCCCATGCCTGGCACACTCACCCTCCTCACAGTTGACCCCCGTAAACCCGGGGCAGCATCGCCACTCCAGCGCGGTCACCGTGCGGTAGGACGTCCTGTACGTGGGTCGGATGAGGGTCCTGGACACGAGAACAAGGTCAGCGCCTGCGACTCCCGCCCCTCCCGTCCCCAGCCGGTCTCTGCAAGAAGGACTCTGCGTTCCCCAGCGGTGTGGGAGAGGCTGTCCTGTCTACCCTGCTTTGTGCTTCCTGGCTGTGCAACCCCAGGCAGATCACCAGCCCTCTCTGGGCTGGGACTGGAAAGTCCTCTGGCTCTCCCTTCCCACCACTCCCCCAGTGTTGGCTGCCCCACAGTGGGAACATGTCCCACTCACTGAGGAAGAAATATCATTAGGACGGGAATGGTGGCTCACGCCTATAATCCCTGAGAGCTGAGGATCAACAGTTTGAAGCCAGCCCAGACAGGAAAGTCCTTGAGACTGTTTTTCCCCCTCAGTCGTGGGTCCTGAACTCTGGGCCTGGGCGCTGTCCCTCAGCTCTTCAGCTCAAGGCTAGTGCTCTACCACTTGAGCCACAGTGCCACTTCTGGCTTTTTTCTTTTGCTTATGTGGTGCTGAGGAATCGAATCCAGGTACTCATGCATGCAAGGCAAGCGCTCTACCACTGAGCCACCTTCCCAGCCCTAATTTATTTTGGGTGTTTTTT